GTTGAAATAGAAATGAAATGAGAATCACCTTTTGGCATCCTCCTGGGCTTTCTCCTGTTCGGGGTTTTGGTTACTACCCTGAAAAGTCAAATCATTCAATCACACTACAATATGCTAAACACAAACAGAATATCGAATGACAAAACTATCATTTCCGGTTCAGGTGGGATTTAAGGGTTTATTTATACCATGCCACGTTGTGCCATTAGCTCCTGCATTCTCCTTTGCCTGATGGCTTCTAACTCAGGGTCAGCCTAAATTCACAAAATCAAGAAACGGATATTTTAATACCACAATCGACGCTATCAAGAACAAATGACAAATTTGAGAGTGCAGATTAGAAGTAAGTAACAAGCTCTTGCCCCATAACTTCACCCTTTACAAGCTTCCGAAAAAAAAAAGCGACTTCAACACAAACTTCAGGTGTCTTATTACATTTACCAAACTCCGTTTACGCTCAAAGTACAAATTTGAGAGTACGAATTAGAATAAGTAACAAACTCTTGCCACGTAACTTCACTCTTTACAAGCTTCCGAAAAAAAGCGATTTAAACACAAACTTCAGGTGTCTTCTTACATATACCAAACTCTCTTTACTCTCAAATTACAAAATTGAGAGTATGAATTAGAATAAGTAACAAGCTCTTGCCCCATAACTTCACACCTTAACAGCTTTCGAAAAATAAAAAAGTGATTTATACACAAACTTCAGATGTCTTCTCAAATTTACCAAACTTCATTCTCTACTCGAGTAAGAAACATTCATCATCCTCGTTTTCTAATGCTCAAAAGGGAGTTACAATCAAGAGATGCCTCGCTAGCCCCCTTCGTGTAATATAATCAGTGAAAAAAACTAACCTTAACACTAAACAGATGAACATCAAAAACAGCAAATATTAGGCTGATACCTGATTAGAACCTAAATGGAATCAACTTTATGCCTTATACAGTTATACTGTAACATTTTAGCTAGGTGCTAAACTTTCACTACCCTAATTTCTTCCAATTAAAAACCGCATATGAAATTAATCGAGAAATACATCTCCATAGTGAAGAAAATAACATCGGCAGCCACGAAAAATTAAACTATCTCTATGATTCTTGAGCAACAAGGAGATTGATAGCCAAAAGGGTTCAACAATAAAGCCACAAAAAGAAGGAATTAGAAAAAAGCACGAAACCTAGTTACAATTTTCTGAAACCAAATCAAGACTTCATAGACAACAGAAGGGAAAGAATCGCGTACCATTGTTTCTTCTTCAGGTTGTAGTTTTTCAGTGATTGCTGATGATTGAAAGTGAAGATGAAAATGGAGCTGCGTTTGGAGCCTGAGATCTTTTTACTTGCAATTTCTGTAGGGCCCTTTTTTTTTCTTTTTTTTTTTTCTTTTTTTTCGCGCGGAACGAACGCACAACGTAAGAAAAGAAGCCTGCCAAAGGCGACAAGAATAAAAGATACAACCATCGGTTGACTAAAATGGTAGGCAAATCCGAATATCGCCTAAAGCCGAACCTAGCAAATATTAGAAAACAAAGACACAACACTACGAAAACAAAACACTACCACAAACTAAAAGATCCCAAAAGAAGGATAATCAAGTACTCACTCGAGTGAGGACAGACGCCAACTGCCCAAACTAAAAACAAAGAATAAACGAACTAAACAAGAACTACCTAACACAAAAACTAAACCCAAAACACAACATGCCCTTCCCCAATCAGCTAAACCGAGCATCGTCAGCGGAATAGGTCGACCCAACATGAGTCCCACAACCAGAAGAGTCAAAACCGAAACTGCCTACACCTCTCGGTTGCCTAACGGATTCGAAACTCCAGCCACGAAACAAATCCGAGCCAACACGCACCACGGCCACAACACCTACTTGCCTCCGAAAACTGGACCAAACCTTCTAACACCACTAGCTGATTCAGCAGTGCTCGGTTCACCCCCGAGCCTCCAAGCATAGAGAGAACAAGGGGCAGGCAAGAGAAGTCCTTGGCCCGGCTCCGATCAAGGCATGAAAAAGTATAAAAATGGGAAAAATGAATGTTTTGTAAATTATGAAAGAAAATAAAACAAATTATAATGATTGGATTTGATGTAATATTCAAAATAATAATAAAAAACAATTAAATGACTTCATGTAATATAATATATTACACGATTTTCTTGATTAGTATTTATTTAATTAATTAAGTTTTTAATTTATTTATTTAATTTTTTTATTTTATTTAGTTTATTTAATTACATTTTTTATAGTTAATTTTAATTATTATTTTAGTTGTGATAAATTAATAATAAAAAAATTATAAATAAAGTCGTAATAATTTTAAAAAATAAATATTTTATCATACATCATGCACTTAAAAAAATATAAACTCAATTAATAATTGAAGTCACAAAAAGTGAAATAAAATATTGAGAAATTTAAAATTGTATTCCAAATTATATCAATATCTTTTTCTTTTTTTTTTTGATAAGAAAATAGGCTTCTAGCCCCATTAGATCATCAAGTTCTTTTAGAACATAAGAGAAGAAAAGATTGGAATACAATCAGGCCACATTATCGTGGTTTTTTTATCCCACCACCCACTTAGCAATGGCGTGAGCAATCTCATTATGAAGTTGATTGATATGCTGACAGAGTCCACAGTCTAATAAATCCAAGAGTGCCAGGATATTCGAGAAAATGCATTCCAAAGGGTGATGTGAATCATTCGCAATCACAGTCCTTGCAATACTTCAAGACAATTTGTGGTGACTTGTTTGATCTTCATTCCCAACGTAGAAGCGAAACGTAACCCAAATTGAATAGACAAAGCCTCGGCCAAAGTTGGAGAGAATGAACCTGACATATGGGATGCAAAAACCGCGACGACAAGGCCTTCTGAATTTTTTATCCAACATCTCAAGCCAATTTCAGAGTCTCTTACGGCTGCATCACATTGAAGGTAAAAACCATTCTCATTTCCTTTTCTTCTTGTCCAAGCCCAATGGTCCTTCACAACGCTCACAATAGAATCAAAAATAGTACAAGCTTGGGCTTTGTCGTAGTCCTCCACCAATCTGGAGCCTTTATCAATCATCCCGTCAATATCACTCAAATGACAACTATTCAAAAGTTGATTTCTTTCCTGCCACACAAGCCAAAGAAACATAACAAAAAACATGAAATATGTCCCTTACAACCCTCTGAAATACTCAAAAGCTTCACCCATAGATGTTACCCCCGCCATTTTTATATCTCATCCCACCAACTACACCGTTTCCAAAACTTCTTCACCCACCAATAATCGAAGAAAACATGGTTATCTGATTCCCAACACCCGCATCTGGGACAGTTAACATTTGAATTAATATGCCTTCGGTGGAGGTTTTCCCTATAAGGGATCGCCTGGTTTGATAAACGCCACAAGAAAGATTTTATTTTTGGCAGAAGAAGTAGTCACCAGAGCAAACGCCACCATGGCACTAAACCACTTGTACTCGAGGATGGATCATCAACAACTGAATTTTGGAGAAGACGATAACCACTACGAACTGAATAAATGACATTTTTTTTTTTCAAAATGCTATATTAGTTTATCTGTCGAGACATGATAGTTCAAAGTGATTGATATAATTTTTTCCGAGTTGATAGGGAGAAAAACTAAAGTAATTAAGTCGTTGTTCCAGTTCCCACGTACGCCAATGAGATCCTGTACCTTTTCTAGGCCCAAAAACAATGGAGTAAAAGTATGGAAATAATACTGTCGAGGAATTCACGGGTTTGAGAAAATTTTGATTTGAGAACCATCTCCGATCCTCCAACGTACCCCATTTTGATGACATCCCGTCTCCACAAAAGAGTTTTCCATAGAAAAGAGGATTTTGGCCTTGCAACTGCCTCAAGAATATTTTTTTCAGGAAAATATTTGGATTTCAAAACCTTTACGACAAGAAAATTTGGGCGAGTGAGAATTCTCCAAATTTATTTTTCTAGTATTGCCTGATTGAAGATCTTCACATCTCGAAAGCTAAGCCCTCCCTGGTATTTCGGTTGGCACAAAGAATTCCATTTTACCCAAGATAATTTGTTAACTCCATCTTTGGACCCTCATCAAAAATTTCGCACGAGGTCTGTAATTTGCTTGCAAATGTAACTCTGAAAACGAAATAAGCTCACGAAATAGATATCAAATGTGATATCTATTTGTACAGAATAAAAAAATACAAATTTTGGTAACTTTTAACTCGGAGTTAAATTTTCTCTTTTCATCACAAATATTATACCTCGAGACTCACTAGAATCTTCACTCAATCAAACATTTTACTTTGACTAGAATTTCATCAACTCTCATTCTCTCAAGTCTCAAAGGTCTCAACTCAATTTCAATAAGCGTGACCTTAACTTTATTTAAATAACAACTCTCAACTTATAAATCTAGATTCCCGCACCATAAATTAAATCGTACACTCTCCCGTAGTCAATCTTTAATCAAACCCAGCTTGTACAGTAATTAAAATAAAACCCTAAATAAATAAATAAAACAAAAATAACTGTACTCACAATAATTATAATAATATCCCCACCACAGAAAAAATAAAAAAAAGTTGCAGGCATCTCAATAATTTTGCTACAGAAATCACCGATAGTCCTTTGCATCTCTTTCAATTGTCACTCTCATCGAGAGACAAGTGACTGGAAAACACACACGCACACACACACACACACACACACAAAACTCATTGAGCTCCAAAAATTGCAGCAGATCAAGAAAAAAGGGGGCAAACCACAAACGGTAAAAAGAAATGGGCTTCACCATGGGCCTGAACCTTCTCCTCCTCCTGGCCATGGTCGCCACCAACATTTTATCTCTCTACCATCTCTCCTCCAACATTCAGTCCAAGCCCCCTGCCCCTCCGCCCGTCCCCGACCACCTAATCCACCAGCTCTCCACCATCCGCGCCACCATCAACCACCTCACCTCCCTCCACCCCTCCGCCGCCAAGCAAACCCCATCCTCCTCCTCCGCCGCCGCCACGGCGGCGGCCCCCTCCGATCTCCTCATCTACACCAACATCGCCCCCATCGCCTCCTCCTGCAGAGACAACCCCGCCCTCCTCCACCGCTACATNCCTCCCGGCGGACCCGTTCTCCCCCCTCCCCGACCGGACTCCGTTCCTCCTCACCCGCTACGCCTGCCGGACTTTCTCCTGCCTCGCCGCCGGCTCGAACCCCGAAATGGGCTTCGACATGAGGGTCGAGAGATCCAAGTTCGTGACCTACAGATCTGAGCTTGACCTCCCGATCCCGCAGCTCCTGCAAATCGCGGCGTCGGCGGGCGTCGCCATCCGGCTCGCAGCGGACGTCGGCGGCGGGACGGGCACCTTCGCCGCACAGATGAAGCTGCGGAACGTCACCGTGCTGACCACCACCATGAGCCTCGGCGCGCCGTACAGCGAGGCGGTAGCGGCCAGGGGGCTGATTCCCCTTCACGCGCCCCTGCAGCAGAGGTTGCCGGTGTTCGACGGGGTATTGGATCTGGTGAGGTACGGGCGCGCCGTAAACCGGTGGATCCCAGCCGTGTCCTTGGAGTTCCTGCTCTTTGATGCAGATCGGGTTCTGAGGGCTGGCGGCTATATTCTACTGGATCGGTTTTTCAGTAAAAAATCGGATCTTGAAAAGGTATATGGACCGATTGTAGGGAAGTTGGGCTACAAGAAGGTGAAATGGGCCGTGGCCGATAAGAATGATCCGAGTGGGATTAAGAATGGGGAAGTTTATCTCACTGCACTTCTGCAGAAGCCATTGAATAAATGATCATATGCTCCATTTGAGGTATTTTTTTTTTCAATTTTCTTGATTTTATTTCCTTCTTGTGCCAAGAAATAGTTAGATTTGTGTTTCTTTTGTGTT